AAATTACATATAAAGGGGAATTTCTGTAACTCTTTAAAGCATCGTCTATACTGGCAAAAACTCCTGTAATATGAATGCCAAAACCTTTATTTTGGACTTGTTTGTTGATCTTTTTTAACATATACCATCATTAGTAAATGCCTAATACAATCAGATTAGAGAACCAGAATCACTGTCAAAGTGGCATCTGGTGGCCCACTGAATTGTTGTTCCTGTCTATCTTATTGTCATTCCTCCTCTCCTTTTAAGGACACTTATTTTCTTGGGGATGTGCTACTTCTCAGGTCAGTATATTGCCATTCCAAGTGTGAGAAGTCCTTAACCTGGTTGATCCATATATTTTATCCTCTCCCCTAAAACAATCAAACCTGGGATTCAGTCGTTTTCAATGGAAAGATGCCTGACTGAATTTTCTGGCTCACTTAGGATTAAAGGCATTAGAGAAAACAGGCAAAGGATTCACACTCACAAGTCTCCTGATACATGGCAGAGGACTTTGTGAACAAAAAGTGACTGCACAGTAGACCCCACAAGCTTAGGGGCTATTTGGCAGGCCTGGCAAGCCCAGTGACCAAAAGTAACCACACAGGATGGTCTGATCGTAAATTCCTAACTGGACAGGTTATGACAGGTAGTCACGTCCCAGGACTACAGCTTCCTTAGCAAAAGTCAATCACTTACCTTAAGGGAGCCCTGTTCATTGTTCTTATGCATCTAGGATAACATACCTTTGAAATGTTCAAGTGATTTTTTTTCCAGACACCTCCAAGGCACAACCACCTACTCTGGAGACAACATAACACTTCATTGTTATCTTGTTCCGGCATACCACCCCTATGTGCTGTAAATGTTAATTATTAACTATCCTGTACCCACCAATGTAAAAGGATGCATGTTTCTCTCCATTTTCCTTTTTCTCCAATCCTGGGCATTTCCACGGTTTGCTTTCTCCTGCCTTTTTAATGTACCACCAACAGATTCCATACAATCTTCCTTATGTTTTCTCCTGATTCTAAATGTATAAAATCAACTGCAAAACTGCCATCCTCTACAGCATTTTCTGTCTGTTGAGATCTTGCTTTAGGGCAGTGATGGCGAACCTATGGCGAACTCATTTTTTTGGTTGATTTTTGTTAAATGGCATTTAAATATATAAAATAAATATCAAAAATATAAGTGTTTGTTTTACTATGGTTGCAAATATCAAAAAATTTCTATATGTGACACGGCACCAGAGTTAAGTTAGGGTTTTTCAAAATGCTGACACGCCGAGCTCAAAAGGTTCGCCATCAGTGCTTTAGGGAATGTCCTCAAATCTTAGCTCAAATAAATTCTTATAGAGCTTTCTGCAGATTTGGACATTCTTCTATCAACAACTTTAAAACAGCCTTTCTTCTATAACACATTTGAAAGTGTCAGAAAGATAAAATTTTGCTCAATGTTTAACGTAACTTCTAAGAAAGGATATTTTTAGGACTCAAATTAGGACCTACTTATTCTATTTAAAAACTCATTTGAGAATCAAATAGAAGGTTGTTCCCATCCCCATCAAAGTAAGATCTATTAAATATCCAATAGTGAGTTTTAAAAAGTTATTTCTGTGAATCAAAACTTTCTAACCTTTAAGGTAAAATTAACATAGGTAAATTTTCAAAGTGACTTGTAAAAAACATCATTCATACTTTGTATAACATCCTCCCCCACCCCCTTTTAATATATTTTTATTTATTTCAGAAAGGAAAGGAGAGGGAGAGATAGAAACATCAATGAGAATCGACTGACTGGCTGCCTCCTGTAAGCCCCACACTGTGGATCGAGCCCACAACTTGGGCATGTGCCCTGACCGGGAATCAAACACGTGACCTCCTGGTTCATAGGTCGATGCTCAATCACTGAGCCAAGTTCCTTTTTTGGGGGAAAAAGTGGAAATCAGCATTTGAAGGTATTTTTACTCCCTCCCTTCATGTGGTGAAATACCTGTGTTAGAATTTAAAAGTTTCCTATTATTATGGACCAGTAGCTTGTCCCTATGTACCAGTTTTATAGAGGAACACAAAAAGATAGTACAGAAGGCAGACTCAAACTAGTTTAAATTCTACTGAATGACACAGAGTGAGTTTTTCATTATAAATTCCTTGTTGTGGTAAAATATTCATAGTAAAAATCAATCAATGCTAATTTTTATTAAAATCAAAGCACCAGTTGGCTCTCTAAAATTAAACAAACAAACAAACAAGGACTATTTCTCAGATGTCCTTCACAATAAGCAAAACCTCCATGGAGATAGAAATTGTGATCTGATTGGCTAGCATTATTCTCACTCAGAAACATGAGCCACCAGCATGTGAATTATGACTTAGTAAATTCACACCCAAAATGACGGGTGATATGTTTGTAAAAAGACTTCAACTATTAATTTACGTGAGGTTATAAAATACTTAAAAAATATGTACATGATTATTTAAAAGGAGGTGCTCTATTTCAATAAGAAATTAGTTGAACTCATGGTCATGTCCATAATTTTAATGGCTAATCAGATCACTTGATTTCTCTCATTCATAACAAGTACAGATAAACAGAAAATGAGTATATCTTTAGTTTAAACCTGAAAACTTTTTGTTCATCACATGAAGCAACTTATTTTTGGGATTCACATTATTTGTAGATCAGGGCTCAGCAAAAGGAGGAGTTCCTTCTTTCATTGTCTAGTCTCTCCATGAAACCCAAATTCAAAAGTTTAAGCACTGTGGCATCATAGGACTTTAAAATGCAATTTCATAAATAGAGTAAAGGTCTGTCTACTACTCACCTTTTGGACTTTGGAGTGAAACTTTCTGAAAGCATTCTTAAGTTATGTTACAACTACACTATTATATTGTAGTAAAATGTGGAGCCTCTTCTTTAGTTTAGAAAAGAAAGTTAAAACTACCCAGGCAAGAGGACATTTCCTCTTAGCATTTTCCAATTTCCTACCCCTCCATTCAAAAAAGGTAGGCAGGTCCTGTTAATTCAAAGGACAAAATGATTGCATTGCCAGATGCTGATGGCAAATACATTTTGAATTTAATATGGTATATCTCAGTCCATTTATACATTTTGCCATGGCCATATAAGTCACTGACTGTGCACTTGGGTTCCCTTATTGCTGGAAAGATCAAATGATTGGCATCTGGGAAAGCTTTTGATGAGTTGGAATTGAGTAAATCCTAGCTCCCATATGCTTTACTTGTTCATAAGCCCCCATTACTGGTGTAATCATGTATTGAAGGTCTTTCAGCTATGATACTGGGCTCTTGTTTCCAAATCCAGAAGGATATCTCTGGAGTTTTTGGACCAGAGATAAACACTGCAGTGTTTTCCTGTTAGGCCAAGGTTGCTTGAATTGCACTAAACTTTTGGGAGGATGCTCAATAAATGAGCAGGGGGAGTATATAGTTAGGATATCTTACAGCTGTCTATTAGAATTTAAGGACTAATTAGCTGGGATCCACCTGAGTATATAGATCCTGTTAATAAGGTCACAGGAGTTTAATCATTAAGACCGTCACTTAAGAGTATTTGGAGAGAAAAACACTTTAAATACTGTTTTAAAAGATTAATATCGCACTGAATATAAGTTTTGAGTATGTTAGAAATTCTGGCTCAGATGCCTTTAGAAAATATTTATTTTATATATATTTTCTGTTTAGTGCTACTTCCCTTTGTGATCCTTCTCAAAAATTTATCTCTATTGTCCTGTTTCAACTCTGGAGACAAATATGGAATAACAAGCTGTCAGAAGAACAGTATTCAAAGATACCAACATTAAACTTACTACTAAAAGCTCAACAGCTGGTGTGCAATAAATGCTGGTGCAAAATAAGACAATTAAATGGTATATATGCGGTTATAAAAATTTGTTCAGTCTTTGGAGAATAAATGTCAAATGCATATTCAAAACAATATTATCACCACCACCATAATTAACTTGAACACAACTTTGAAAGATGATTAAGACTTTTTAACCATTAATTCATAATTTACGCTATGGACAAGGCTTAAATCTACATAGAAAGTGAGACACTATTGCTAGTAAGTTATTTTCTCATATTTTATCTTTATCAATGTCTGAAAACCCAATCAATTAGCCACAGAATATTTTCAAATTGTCCATTTTAAGAAGCAATGCTACAATGATAAAATCAAGTCCTCTAGGTTTAATTCATGGAAGATGATACCTTCCAAAAAGTAACATTCTTTCAAGCCAGCCATATTTTTATTCCATCAGCCTAAAGAGAATAATGTCCTCCGGCAATTAGTGTTTTATAAATAAAGGTTTACTTTGGCAAACTAAAAGTAATTCATGTGTAAATATTTTGTCAAATGTTAAATTAGCAAGGGGCACTATCTTACTCTAGTTTCCTTCCTTGACACTGACCAATAAAGAATAAATGAATATCAGTTAAACTAGCTAGGTCTGGCCCATTAAGGAATATGCTTGCCCTCAGAAGGTATCTTTTGTATCTCTATTGGAAGGATACAAATGAAATTCAGAATTAAGTGAGATCAAAGAATCAATTTGAGGGTCTGGCTCTTAAAAATAGGAAATGGATGCATCAGAAAATAATTAAAATTTCACTATAATTCTCTCCAATTTCCTGTTCCCAAATTCCGCAATACATTTTCATTTCAAATTATAAAGAGAGATGAAAATGACAAAAACGAGTCCCTTTCAGGGTATTTTTTTTTAAATCCTCACAGCAAATACTGCACACAATTGTATTTCATATTTCAGGTGTTCCACTAAAAACCATACTGCAAACAATGAGTCTTTATATAAGGATCACCTGCACAGTTAAAACAAGCAACAAAACCACACATAGACATACAGTAAAACCAAATGTGTTCACTTACTTCCTCAGTGGAAGAAGTTCAATTAAGAAATGTACGAAAATGGCCTTGAAAATCTGCTATACCAAACATCTCTACAGACAAGAAAAAATAAATAAATAAAAAAACACTTGTTTTCCCATTTTTTCTTTAATACAATTGCCATCTTACATGACTATTAGGTGCCTTCTTAATAGTGTCTAATCTAATTTTTGTTGCACCAGTAGGCATCCTACGATAGAACTCTTATTACCATCCATGTTAATTCACTGTGGCCCAGCTATTCTTAAGGACAGTACACCTAACTCATGGTTGGGCCACAATTAATTAGTAGTGGTATTTTCTAAAATGGATTAATGCACACATCCAGACCACATTAAAATTTCAACTGAGAATGCATACAAATTCTATTTCCTTTCTATAGCAGTTATCATTCCAGATTACAGTTTTGAAATCCAGAAAGTAGGAACAATGTCTTATTTTGTTGTTGGTGCTTCTTTCTTCTTTCTCTCTCCTTCCCTCCCTTTTTTACTTACTTTATTAATCAGAAGGTTAAAAAAATGGGTTAAGAAAATCAAAATCTAGTAAACATCAAAAAATTATAGATCAGCATTGTCACAAACTCTTCTTTGTAATGATGTTAAATTATTTACAAAATAATTTTTGAAAGCGGAAAAACCAGCACATGCCAATGGTGCTGCTTATTTAAGCAACTGGCGATCCTCTACACTTTTGAGGCGTTTCTTCCGGGGCTGTACAAAGTCATCATCTGAGTCATCACTAAATTTATTATCTTCTGATTCATTCCTGAATTCAAGTTTAGGAAACCGTTTTTCTGGATAAAGGTTCTTTAGAAGTTCTTCAAAATAGCTTTCAAGCTTTATACCAGCACTGGCTACTTCTGAATCAGGCTGTTGGGCCAAAACAAAAATATAAATTATAAAACAGACACGAACATTTAGACAGCCAAAAGTAGTAAATTTCTCACATTTCTGTTCCCTTTTAACTTGAGATTAGGAATACCAGTGGATTATTTTGGAAAAATATTTATACAATGTCATTGATATAAAGTAAATAATAGTCTGGGGCTAAACAAAGTGTAGAGAAGGTCACATAAAAGGTAAACAAAATTCTTTGACACATCTGGCTTATTCTATAAGGGCATAGCAGTTGCAAGACCGGATTCCCAAACAAAAATAAAGATGCCATAATCACAGTATTATATAGCAGGTATTTTCAGAACATAAAATGTGGAACTTTGGAATGAGTAACCAATACATAGAACAAGACTCTAAGTCTAACAGATATTTGGATAAACTGACAGATGAGAAAATATTAAAATTAGAGCTATTTAGACCACATCTTTAATATTTCAAGATCAACATAAAAAAAACCCCACTAAAGTATGGAATTGCTATATTCTAAGAAATAAAGATAAGAATGACAAAAAATGCTTCTAGGTTAGATGAAAATATTTTTAAAGTGTTTTCAGTTGTCAGCTATAATTTGCATTTCCACTCAACATATAATAAACATCCTATATAATAAAGAGCTAATACGCAAATGGTCATCACGCCCTCACGCCGTCACTGTAAAGGCTCAGACACTCAACACTGGGGAGAGAGGAATGGGGACCAGCCAGGCACAAAGGAGCTTGTGAGAGAGCAATGGGGACCAGCCAGGCACAAATGGGCTCGTGAGAGATGAATGGGGACCAGCCAGGCTGTGGCCCAGGAGAGGGACAAGCCGCCTGCCCTGCGGTCCTGGGTGTGGGACAAACCGCATGCCCCGCGGTCCTGAGCGCCAGCCGCTGGGGCTGCGGACCAGGAGAGGGACAAGCCACCCACCCTGTGGTCCTAGGCGCCAGCGGCTGCGCCCACAGCCTGGGAGAGGGACAATCCACACGCCTCATATTCGCCGGGCTAGGTCCTGGGTGCCTGCAGCCAGTGAGAGGGAGGGAAGCCTGGGTCCTAGGTGCCTGCGACCAGCCAGAGGAGGGAATCCTGGGTCCCGGTGTGGGGTGAGGCAGAGGCAGTTAGGGGCGGTCTGCCAGTAGGGGAGCAGTTAGGGACGATCAGGCAGGCAGGCAGAGGAGTTAGGGGCGATCAGGCAGGCAGGTAGGCGAGCAGTTAGGAGCCAGCAGTCCTGGATTGCGAGAGGCAGTCGGGCATCCCCCAAGGGGTCCCGGATTGGAGAGGGTGCACGCCGGGCTGCGGGCCCCGACCGTGCATGAATTTTGTGCACCAGGCCTCTAGTTGGAATATAAATATGGAGAAAATCATTCTCTGACTCGAACATTTGGAAATTTATGCGAACATAAATAGATTATCTTAATATCCTTGTTTGCTAATAAGATGTTTGGTTTAACATTGCTTTCAATATTACTATTAGTCTCCCCTCCCTTCCACCTCACCTCATTGAATTCAGCACAGTTTTGAAAGATTAATCTAAAGTCAGCTACAAAATCCTCAGGCTTTGTATACATGTAATACTCTTCTTGTAGTCTTTTCTTGATAGTTGACAAGTCCATTGGATTTTTAATTATTTTGTAATAATCAGGCACCTTTCAAAATAAAAGAGATACTATAATGTAAATAACTAAATTCTACCTCATCCTAAATAAACTCTACAAGTAGTAGCATAAAATTCAGATTGTACTATTTTGTCATTGCTAAGAAAACCTATGCAACATGTGCCTACAGCCTTCCACACAATGGAAAATGTTTTGTATCACCTTTTTCAAAAAATTTCAAAAATTATTTATTGTTTTGTTTTGTTTTATTAATCCTCTCCCCAGGGTATTTTTTCCACTGATTCCCCCCCTCCCCCCCAAGAGAGTGGAAAGGAAAGGGAGAGACAGAGAGAAAAACATCTATGTGAGAGGGACATATCTATTGGTTGCATCCCATGCCCTGACCAGGGCCAGGGTTTGAGCCTGCAAGTGAGATACGTGCCTTTGACTGGAATTGAATCTGGGACCCTTTGGTGCATGGGCCCATGCTCTTATCACTGAGAAAACCAGCTAGGGCGTCACCAATTATTTTTTAACTAGAGGCCCAGTGCACAAATTAGTGCACAGGTGGGGTTCCTTGACCTGGCCGGCAATGGGGGCTGATCAGGACTGTCTTGCCAAGTCCTGATTGGGGCCCATTGGGGCCGGCTGGCTGGCCGGGGGGAGGGACCACACTGACCACCAGGGGGCAGCTTCTGCATTGTGCGTCTGCCCCCTGGTAGTCAGTGCGCATCATAGCGACTAGTTAACCAGTCATTTGGTCGACCGTCGTAAAGGTCACTTAGGCTTTTATATATATAGATTTAAAAAATCACCTTTCCCTCCTAAACCTCCTTCTCTATTCTCCTTCTTCATTATTAAACAAAAAGCAATTACTAGCCCTAGAGCAAGCATGTCAAACTCAAAGGCTAACACGGGCCAAATAAACAAGGTTTAAATTTATGTGGGCCACAAAAAACACAAAAGCTTCAATTTTCATAGAAACATAGGTTTATTTCGATAGAGACATGCTGAATACAAAGGGCTGAAATAAATGAGTGATTGTTAACATAAAATAGAACATTTTAATAAAAATTAATATTTTTTCTTGAACATTAACTTACCAGACATTGAATAACTGCACAAATTAATAAGCATAATGCAAATAAACCTATTTTTCTTGTTCTCCGAAAGCAAAATATTTCCTGTTGCACACACCAAACAAGTCAGTCCAAGACTAATGATGTGGCTGGCCATTGGCTGCTAAAATATTCGCTGCTAGTATTAGTGGAGAGAAATGGTACGCCTGCACGTAAGCCACGTAAGAGAAATGAATGCAACACAATTATAGTAATCAGTCATTAGTGAACATTGTAGTTCGTTATTAATAGTTATGTATAACAGGATATTGTAAAAATTAAGTTATGAAATTTTTATTAAAACATTTCTTACATACTGTTATATTGGCTGGGCAGCAAAAATATTCACTGTAGGCTGCATGCAGCCCGCGGGCCGTGAGTTTGACACGCTTGCCCTAGAGCATCAGCCTGCGGACTAAAGGGTCCTGGATTCAATTCCAGTCAAGGGCCCATACCTCACTTGTAGGCTCGATCCCTGGCCCTGGTCAGGGTGTGTGGGGGAGGCAACCAATCAATGTGTCTCTCTTATATTGATGTTTCTCTCTCTCTCTCTCGCTCTCTCTCTCTCTGTCTCTCTCTCCCTCCCTCCCTCTCTCCCTTCCACTCTTTCTAAAAATCAAAGGAAAAATATCCTTGGGTGAGGATTAACAACAAAAAATAAAATAAAAAAAACAGTATTTCTAAATCCACTATAATTAAAAAATAACACAAAAATGCAATGACTTGAAATGTTTTTGCTGCATGTGTTATAACAAATGGGGTTTGAACCCCAGCTCTGCTACTCAGTAGCATGCTCCTGGGTTAAGTTACTTACTTCACTGAACCTTATATATCAAATAGGGATAATCCTACCAACTTGACAGTTTTTGTAAAAAACTGGAATGAGGACCAGAAATCAGGATTTTAAAAAGATTCCCAGGTGATTCTAATGTGGAGCCAAGGTTGAGAACCACTGCATTAAAGTCTCATCGAACTTTCAATATGAACCTTTCTGAAGTCAATTTGTTAACACACATGCAATGTGCACACACGCTTTCTTCTATTGTTAAAGTCTACTTAATCTTTGAAGTATGGACATATACATGAAAATATGAACAGAGAATTTTGGGGATATTTATCTCAAATGGAAAGTTTTTCCCCCCAACAGTTAAGGAGATATACCTAAATCTCCTGAGAGGCAACTGATGGAAATCATTACAGAGAAAAGTAGGTAAAATGCATGAGATGAGGTGTAAGAATGTATGAGAAATGAATAGATGTTTTGGGCCAATTATATTAACATTAAAATGCATTTAAGATCAAAGGTTTCAGTATGTATCAATAAGCTTTAAGACTCGATTAGATATAATAAACTAACTACTGAAAAATGGTACAGAAACTAGATGATCATAAATCAAGTTGCAGAAAAAATCACTCTATGGTGTAAAAATGGCAAAATGACATTAATACTTACAGTTAGAGGAACTGGATCTTGAAAAGCTAGGCTCATTTCATGGCAATATAGAAATAAAAGTAGGCGTTCACACTTCTAAGCAAAAAATAAAATGAGGTCACAGCTTATTTTTTGTAACAATGTCATATATATCAAAGTACCAGAATAAAAATTAAAACCAGATGAATATAAGAAAAGTATTGATAGACTTTTTATCTCCTTCCCATTTATTGAACTGTACTGTTTGATAGCTTGGGGTTTATGTGATATATGAGAGCAGTCCTTTGTAATTAATTATAGGAACAAACACATTATCACTAGAAACCCATTTGAAGTTCTTAAAAATAAATTTCCACTTATTTCTCCAATTTGTATTAAATTATTAGTAGACAATAAAAGAAGAGATCTAAAGGTGGAGCCCTTTCCTGGTGTGTACAATCCTAAAGCCCTAAGGCAGATGGTGCTATCATGCACGCTGCTACTTCTCTGCTTATGTGGGCTTATACAAACGCTGAAGCACTATAGTGCGTGTTTGGTGCCCCTCTTGCATGACAACTTTCATACTCTTTGTTCTACTTAATAACTGAGCAAAGGAGCTTCTTTAATAATACAGAAGTGTTGATTTAGTAGGTTTAAATGTTAATTACAGTTAAATATTTTAGCTGGCTTTAATGTATAAACCTAGTACCACTGGGTGAAAGAATGGAAATAGAAAAATAAATTCTATTTCTCAACCAATTCTGAGGAAGAAAACCTATCTATAGTAGAAATAAAACAAAAAAAAATTTACTAAAGGTAGACCAACTTTAAGAGTGCAGGCCACATAAAGGACACATATTCTACCTTGTTCAAGTACAGTTTCTAGAAAATGTATATGTAGTATTATGATATTTTTAAACTAAAAAAGTTAGTCTGCTTCTAAGTATATTACTTAAAATCCCTATACTTTTGTGGAAATAAATACTAAAGAAAAAAGAAGTTAATGTGAAAAGCACACCTGCATTACAATAATGCATTTAACCAAAAAAAAAACAACAAAACAAAACTGTGTAACAGTCTAGGTTGGAAATGCTCAAAAACTTACCCTTCTATCTATTGGTGTTAATTTACCAAGACTTTCAGTTTTCTTTTTTTCTGAGTTGTGACTGGGAGCATCACAATCATATTCAACTTCTGGTTTGGATAAGTCTCGGCAGAAAGTGCAAATCCACTCTCCACTGTTGGGGGATAAAGTATTTGAATTATAATGCATTGTTTTGCTCTTCACCATATCTCTTTTCTACCTCCTCCATGCCATCTATGATACAGAATTACTTATTTGGCATGAATTTCAATCATTGAAGAATTACTGTATATCTACTAAGCACTCAGCTCCATCCTGAGAGCTGAACAATTATAATAATACAATGCAAGAGCCTAAGTGGTATAAATATTAGTCTAGCTAAGGAGGTAAGAAATACATATACAAAATAAACACTTAAATAAACAGACACATTAGTCTATGGCTGATGTGATGTGTAACTCATATTTTTACCACAAATAATTCAAGACAAAAAACCTTCTTGGTACTATTCTTGCAATTTTGTTTGAAATTAAATTTTAAATAGTATAGCCTTTGAGGAACTGAGAGATTAACTCAATGCTCTTCTTCATCATCATCTCAAAGGGTCTGTGAGACTTTGAGATATTTATAAATGTCAGTGCCTGCCAAATAAGATGCCATTGTGGCAGTTGTGCATAAGGACCATTGTTCTTTATGGCAACCCCATGTAATAATTTAAAGTTTTTTTCTTTTCATAACACTAGGTTTTTGAGAGAAGCACAAGGAATTAGAGGCAGGGTATGGGAAGGAAACCCTATGTTGTAGGTTTTGAAGTATGCATTTGTGTCAAGTGGACTTTTATTTTTAAGGTTTTACAATGGTTTTAGGTTATAATAATTGTCACCCTTTTCTTTGCCCCTGGTCTGTGTTATATCCCATTTCTGGGTTCTTGTTTTCCTCTTTTTTGGATTACTCCATATTTGATGAATCATATTGTAAAATAGCTTTCTGAGATGAGTATATGGAAATTAAATTTTTTTCAATCTTGCACGCAAGTCTAAAAATGTTTATTTAGCCCTAACTAGTTTGGCTCAGTGGATAGAGTACTGGCCCATTATTATTGACCAGTAGCCCTGCGCACGAATCCGTGCACCAGTAGGTCGCTGCCGCCCTCCTGTAGCTCCCCCCGCACCCCCTCATAGCTTGTTGCCCTGCCCTCACCTGTAGCTCTCTGCCTCCTGCTTGCTTGCTGCCCTGCCCCGTCTTGTAGCTCTCTGCCACCCACTTGTAGCCAGTAGGTCGCTGCTGACCTCCTGTAG